ATATCAGAACAGATTAACTTCAGATTCCCAACATACGATTAACATAACTACTTGTGAAGAACAGAACATTAAACAAAAGAATTGTTAATGGTAATCAATTGTGCGATTCCGGTACTATTACTCACAGTGTTATTGCGGGGCGATGGTTCCTCTTGTGGTGTGTCCTACACACATATATAACACACATTAGTTCCTTTTTCCTTTTAAACTATTTCTTACGTCATTACATTTCAATTGCATTTACAACCATCAAAAAGACATCAAACACAAATTCCAAAAAGAGCTGAGGGTTAGGCACACAAAACGGAGTGAACAAGGTTTTCGACCTGGGCCACACGTGCGGCCAAACCCTCCGCTCGTACGGACATGTACCGCACGTGCGGTCCCCCTCCACCCCTCAAGCGGCCAAACTGCAGTACCCAAAATCAATTTTTCTCCTCTTGTCCGCACGTGCGGCCATGACCTCCGCACGTGCGGTGGTGACCCCTGTTTTGGGGCAGCTCGGTTCCAACTCAAATTCCAACAACACCAAGTCATTTTACATGCAAACCAGGATGAAATTAAGGCAATATATTGACCCAACTTCACTATAACATGCATTATCATTTGAATATCACAAGGTAAACATGATTAAAAGCTTGATCAAGTCACTATTCTTATAATTTCCATCCTTTAATTCAAGTTCTCTATGTTCATAAAACACAACACATGACATAAACATAATTTCATGGTGTTTATTGAAGTATAAACATAATTAGGTGTCAAAGCAACCAATTGATGAGAACCCTCTTTAATCAAACATAAATCATACACAATTCTCCATTCCAACCCTAGTAAGATACATATGAAACTAACAAACCTTTCTTCCCAATTGAAAGGAGAATTCTCATATACAATAGATTTAACATACCTTGAGCTTTAACAATTTCAAAGATCCTTCTAATTTAACCCCAATTCCCTTCCTTGTTGACTTTGCCTTTGTTCCCTTTTTCTCTTCTTTCGTTTTTCCTCTCCAGGAGATCTTTCAAGGTTTGATCAAGCTTAAGAGATATATAGGTTCATATATAAAAGCATATAGGACAAAATTCAATCGTTTAATCATTCCGAAATTGAAATTTCGTAAACATGCTTAATATTACTTAAAAATTATGCTGATCACAGATATATAATCACTTTCAGGTAATTAAGCCGTTAAGGCTTCCAATTTCTGATTCAACCATTTGAGATGTAACAGATACTTTGCTTGTTAAACAGATAGACATCCGTAAACATGGATTTCACTTACTTAACCTTAATTTCTCATGGGATTTTACAGTAAACATTTAAAAGCACAGAACGAGGACTGAAAATATATCAAAGAAAACAAGTACGAGGGTCGGGTTGTTACATGGGTCATGCCATTTCAGATCTTTTCTTGATAGATTCATGCACAAGATACACACCCACCCCCCTCCATTGTCATTATTTGGCCTCCATTGTCAAAAAGGTGTTTGTCTCTTACCCAAAAGAGAGCATTCATTTCAATCACCATTGTCACCCCATCATCCTTATCTCCCACCTTCTCCTTGACTTAGCAGTCTTCTTTAATTGCTTATAGAGATAGAGAGGATCAGAATTGAAGGAGATGAAAGAGAGGAATAAATTAAGAGAAAAGAGAGAGATAGAAAAAAAAGACGGAAGTTTAAGTTTTGAGCCATAAACCTCCATTTCTTAGAGATACACTGATATACCATCTTTCATATATCAAAACCATCCCAGAAATCTGTGAGAGTTATATTCAAGTAGCCTTGATCAAAAGAGAGTGAGTGTTGTTGAAAGAGAGAAAAACAAAAAGTTGTATAACCCTCCCCCTCCCCCCTCACATACACACTATTAAACAACCCAAAAACACTATTCCAATAAAATTTTAAATTGAGAATTGAGAACACACTTCCTAAACTTGAGAGTGATCAAAAGGAAGTTTAGAAATCAAATCCTTCTTTGAAATGTTAATTTTGCACACTTTTCATTTTCTTTTACTTTCTTGCCTTTTCTTTCTTATATTACTTTTCTTGCTTCAATTTCATGTTATAAACCTATTGTAAGCTAACTGGAAATGGTTAGTTGAGCCACTTGCATATTTTTCATTTGTTTTGCTGGTGTTTGAAGCAAAATAGAGTTTTTGGCCTGGCTTGATTGGCCGGTCGGCTCCTTTTTTGGCTGGCTAGCCACTTTCTCCTGGACAGAACCTAGCAGTCTCTCGAATGTTGAGCAGAACAGTCTCTAATGGTCGCCAAGGTCCCCTGAAACTTCTATTTTTGTTTATTTATTTTAATTAGAGAGAGTTTGTGAGGATTTAATTTTGTTGTAATATTTTTATTCCTCTCTTCTTTTATTCGAATTTGTAATATTCAAAGTCATGTAATAATTCCCCTACTCCCGCTTTTTTCTATCCCGTTCTTTTGTTTTGCTTTCCCTATCTGTACATATGTAGTATATCATGCTTGTCATTATATCCATGCTTTGCATCCATGTTTTATGCCTTAAGATCCGGCTAAATTTGCATCTGTGAGGGTAATCGATTATTATGTGATTTTGTGCACTACCTCATGTCATAAGATGATTCATATGTCACATATTTTAGAAGTCAGATCTTTAGTTTCATTTCATGAATGAATTGCATTACGATCTTGTATATAGAATTATGTATGTTTTACTAACTTTGTTTTGTAATTATTTGTGGGATGTCGGTAGATATGTAATTTTTCATGCTTTAGCATCCCGCTTGTGCGTGTTTTTCTATTATGTTTAGTATCCTACCATGTGGCTAGTTACTTATTTGATATAACTCTATGTATGCCAGTGGATGAAGGTTTTATTATTTAATTTTGAATAAAATTGGTTTTTCATGATTGCACTATTCCAAACATTTTCAAAATAATGAAATCAAATTGTTCCAAAATGAACGATACAATCTATATGTGTTTGCTTTACATAGTAATTTTTAAGATTTATTAAATGATTGGAATATGAATATATAAAATAAATAAAACTCATACCATACTTTAGTAGAGGTCGATCTTTTGATCGGGTTTGAGGGGGTGTTTAATTAATGACCTTCCCTCCTCATACCGAAGGTTTCGAGCCAAGCATCCTTTGTTACGATGAACAATGGCATTGGCACGAGTCACGAGTTTCCTAATTTTCTCAAAATATTAGGTGGTAACTCTAAGATTTGATGCCGCAGTCAATTTCTGGCAAAGATTTTACAATAACATGGATTATCTATAAAAGTTGTCAAATCTGGATTCTCATCTATGTTTCACATTGCACTCGTGAGACTAAATCGAAGAAATCAAGGGTCCGAACTATTTAACGCGTACAGGTACCCCCCTGGGCATGTTACAACTACTCATAGTAGGCTTGTACAGACGTTAAGCTTTGGGTGACCACCTACACAAAACGCATAACAAAGGTACACATTGAAACACATTGTCAAATCAAACGTTCCATCTTAATTAATTTCCTTATATGTGTTTCTAGTTGTTCTCTCATTAATGATGCATAAACAATGCCCAAGAATTTCTAAAAGTGCATGGAAATGAAAGTATGTATTTGAAAGCATTTTCAAAAGTTGCTGAAACAGTCTAATGATATTTTCAATTGTTCTTATTTGGAACAAGATTCAAAATTCAGGGTCAAATGTGTCATAATTGAAAAGTCAGGTACCAAAGTGACACAAGTCCCAAACTATAGGGACTATTAATGTAATTAATCCTAAAAATAAATTGAGCCCATTTGTTTTACAGATGATATAACAACGGTTTTACAAACACAGTTTTTGGATACAATATTGACAATTGTTTAGTAATTTTTACCGATTTAACTGTATTTTGAGAAAATTTAATTCAAATTCAAATCTATTTAGCTAAATATCTTGAAAAATTAAAATTTCAAATTTCCTAATTTAGATTTAAAAATCAAAAATAGGAGGAAATGAAGATATCAATTACAACTTGAAAAAAAAAAAAAAAAAAAAAAAAAAAAAAAAAAAAAATCAACTTACAACATGTTTGGTTCCAGAAAATTGAGTTCACTTTTCAGAAAATTGAGATTTTTTGTTTTTCGTATTTTTTTATTTTTAGTGATTTTTTAAATATTTTAATCAAAATATACTTAAAAAGTATAATATTTGTGAAAAAAAAAACTTGAAAAAATTAACCAAATACAAAAAAAATATAAAAAAAAAATTCATAAAATTCAATATATTTTCATATTTTGTTGTATTCAATGAATTTTTTATTTTTTTAAAAAAACTTTTTAAGCATATTAAGATTAAATGAATCTAAAAAACAAAAATAAAAAATCTGATTAAATATTTTAAAAAATTATTAAAAATACGAATTAAAAACTCATAAAATTATTTTTAAAAACTCCAAACCAAACAAATCTTTTCTTTTTTTTTTTGGTTTTGATTTTACACTTTAATTTTGGGAAGATTGTTAAAAGTTGATTTTTTTTTCACTCTTTTTGATTTTTAAAATATATATATATATATAAAATTTAAAAGATGATGAAATTATGGCCAAGTTTGGGAAGATAAAAAAAAATCAAAAAATTACTCAAAAATTTAAAAAGTTAACATTATTCACCAAAAGTTAACAATTACAGTTGCACAACTCTCAATTTTAATTTTCCATACAAACCAATTTTTACAATTTTTTAATACACATTTTTCGGTAAAAAGTCAAAAAGTTAACATAAACATCCATATCTTTTTTTTCAATTTTTTTAGTCTAAAAAGATAAAAAACACACTTATTTAATGCACTCCAAACAACCCTAAAAATTGACTTTTGACTTTTAACTGGCTTTCCCAAAAGGCTAAGTTAACAGTTTAACTGAAAACCCTTTTACGGTTTCGAATTGAAAATATAAAACCATAGGGGTAGTCAGCAATTTATGCCAATATATGGGCATTGTCGGTGATTTTAATAAAGCTAGGGTTCAAATACAAAGAAAGATGGAAGTGAGTTAGCGAGAGAGACCAGACTGCGTAAGCGCAACCTTTGAGGGGGAAGAGAGAGAGAGAGAGAGAGAGAGAGAGAGATGGGGAGGACGAGAGCGATGGCGTGCGTGTTTCTCTTTGTATCGCTTTTCGTACAAGCTACAATTGAAGTCTCCTCAACATCTTCACATCTTACACCTCAAAGTCAGGTTCGTTCTCTCTCTGTCTCTCTCTCTCTCTCTCTGATGTATGTATTTGTATTTATTTGTTAACGTTTTGATTTTTGTTTGAACCGTTAAAATTGATATACTGAAGAAGCAAATAAAAATGGTGTTTGGTTGTATTACTCATCTATTGAATTGGGGTTTTAATCTAAACAGAATCGGAATTTAGTTCATAATGTGTGTATATTTGTGCAGGTCTGCTACCCGCGAATTATGAACTAATATTTCTTTTTTTAATTGATCTACCGATTGATTTTGAAATTACTGAGCCCTTATTAATCTTATTTACTGTTTGGTTGCTGAGAAAACTGAGAAAAGGAGGAGAATCTTGAATTTTGTACTTTTATGTATTTGGTAAATGGAAATATGACCAAGGCATAGCCAACTTGATCAATTTGGTTCAATTAGGAGTAAAAGCTCTCCTGTTAATAATAAATTTGTAGCCTCACAAATTTTAGTTTCTTCCCGCTTGCATTTGAGTTCCTCGGCAACCAAACAAAGAATTATGTGAATTAATTTTTCTGGTTTTGAGGCAGCACCCATTCGGGAAATGAATTGTGTGTTTGACAGTCACTTGTGGATCTTTGTGCTGCTCGGATAGGAATTTTAGTTTTTCATTCTCTCTGATGTCGTTAGTATTACACTGTTATTCTTGTTATCGACTTTGTTCAATATAGCTTATGTCTCATTCGGTTGTAAACCTTCTCTGTTTGTCTTTGTTAATTTTGCTTAGCTGGTTGGTTACCAAATTCCTTTACTCTTTCACAGTGACAGCCTTGAGCAAAGGCAAAGAAGGCAACTTCCTTGGGCTCCCAAATTTTGACAAAATTTAGGGCCCCCTAAATAATTTCAATCCTTATAGTATTAGTATACTAAAAAATAAGGCTCATTCTAACTTATCTAAGTTCACAATCTAAAACCAAAATGTATTTTTTTTTGTCAATCGGTAGGAGATTACAAATATAAGACAATTACATCCAACTGAGTAATCATAGCTAAACCACAATACAACACATATCTGATATCCAACATCTAACCCAACAAAGAGCCTCATAATATAAGAGAAATCAATAACACAACAAACAACCCAACAACCAACATAACAAAAAAAAGTTTTGGTCCCTCTATTCAACAATGGGAGAAAAACTATCCATGATTGTCTCAAGAAAACAACCAACATAACAAAGAAAAGTTTTGGTCCCTCTATTCAACAATGGGAGAAAAACTATCCGTGATTGTCTCGAAAAAAAAAAAAAAAAAAAAAATTCAAATCTAAAATTGATTAAATATTAGTTCGTCAACAATGTCGCAAAAAGATTAAACGAATTAGTCATATTATCTACTAAAAATGATATAATAGATAGGCTAGATTATGTTAGCTTAATTAGCAACTGTATCTAAAATGCGAGAAGTGTAATAGTTAGTTGATACAGTTGGTGTAATTTTTATTTCATATTATAACTTTAGATTTTGTTTAATTATTTCTCTTTTGTGAATTGGATATTATTAAACTATAAAGCAACAAAATCATATTTTATCTCTTGAAATTTTTGTAATAATTTCTTCATGCCTTGATCTATGTAACTAAATTTTAGGGTTAATTACATTTTACCCCCTCATGGTTAAAGCGAAAAACACATCTCCTCCTTATAGTTTATAAATATACATATCACCTTGTGGAGTGGAGTGTAAAATCTAGCTCAATTAATATTTTTGATAAAAAGTCAATATTACCCTTATTTTCTTCTCTAATTTTTTTTTTTTCCATACCACCAACACTGCGACTTTCTCTCTCTAAAAGTAAACTCAACCAGCCCCTCCATAGTTGCCCCAAACAAGCACTACCTCCTTCCTATCACCTGATGCAACCCAATTAATAAATGGGACTGTAGCAGCGACACAAAATGTCTGAATGATGTTTGTGAAATTTGCGAAAATGAAATTTTTCCCTAGTCTATTTTTTGGCCTTTCTCCTCTCTTATTCTTTTGCAGCTACCATGGCTATGCAAGAGCAACGACCCACTCCTTTCCTTTGTCTTCTTCCTTGAAGCACACTAAACATCCAATAGAAATCCAGCAACCGATTGTTGCAATCACGCAACAAAGCTCAGCCCATCTCCCATCTTATTACCGACTACACTCCCAGCACCAACCTGCATCACCCGTCTCTCTCTTCTTGACTAAGTCACCATCCACCACCTTCCTCTCTTATGGCACCCATTGTGCTCGCCAACACTACAATTTGGGTCTTAGCTTAGTTGGTTGTGTGTGCCTATAATACAAATGTGTGTTTGTATGTAATGATAAGGAGAAGATGGAGGATGATGGTAGAAGAAATAGGTAGTGGAAAGTGGTGGTGGTGGTGGTTTGGGTGGCCTAGGGATTGCCAGACTACCATGGGAGACCATAGTTTCAGTGGTGGTGATCTTAGGTTGGTGATCTTAGGTTGTTGTAGGAAGTGAGGGAGAAGGACATGAAGACGATAGGGAGGAGATGGTGGGGTGATCTGTGCAGTGCAACAGCAGTGAAGGGAAGAAAGAGAAAGGAAGAAAAATAAAAAGGAGAAAAGGGCAAATTCGTCATTTTCTCAGTTCAGTCTTGTCACACACGCTCAGTTTAGTGGGTTTTAGACACACACTATTAATTTTGACAGAATCTGTTACTTTTACATTGCACTCCAAATTACAAGGGGGTTAACTGTACATTTTTTAATCATGAGGAGGTAATGTGTTATCGGCCTAAACCACAAGGGGGTAATTTGTGATAATATGTGCAAGCAAACTTTGTGTGGGTACTAACAAATAAAAAAATTAAGAGTACTTAACAAATTTTTTTTTTGGGGGGGGATAAATATAAGTACTCAACAATTTTATCCACAAATTTATTTTTGTTTTTGCATAGAGGGCCCCATTTTTAAAGTTCGCCTACAGTCCCGACTAACTCAGGGCTGATCCCACTCTTTCATGTGTGTGCATATGTATAAATGTTTTGAATATGTATGTACATGTTTATGTATATTCCATTTGTAATATGAATTATTGTGTCAGTTTCTACTTATCTAACACATCCAGTTTGGACTGCAGGATACAGAAGGGTACGCAGCTAAAAGGTAAATTTTGTGTCATTAGATTAAACTAACATCTTATTATAACTTTTAAAGCTGAAATATGAACAAGCAAGTATGAGGTGTTATTCTGTGGTGCTTGTAATTGGTACATTTGTTGCCTGATGATGATGTATATTATACCTTTTCTTTTTCTTAAATTAAAGTTGGCAACTAATCTAGGTTTTAATTTGAGGTTTAGAACACTGAAGCAAGAAGAACAATATGCTCATGAAGTACATTGTTCCAGAGAGAGAAGTAGAGCAGCTTGGAAAGTCATTGAGGAGGTGACCTACAAGATATATTTTGTAGATTAGCTATGCAATACTGTGTGGATTGGCTTGTTTTATTAGTGTTTAGGCTGATTACGTGTCCATATACCTTGCAGTATCTGATGCCATTTGTGGAACGAGAAAAGTATCAGATTTCAAGAAAGTGTAAACTTCATCCCGACAATGATATTTTTAGAGATCAGGAGCAACATAAGATTCATCTGGATGTAAATGAATGGCGTTGTGGATACTGTAAGAAAATCTTCCGAGCAGAGAAATTTCTTGATCAACACTATGACAACAGACACTATGATCTCCTAAATGTTGTATGTGGGCCCCTGTTTCCTTGTCTTTCTCAATTGCGATTGTTTATATTCAAGCTGCAGTTTTTCAAAATTGTCATGTTATAAAGGAACACTAAAACCCTTTTGTTGTTTCACTATTACACATGTTGCTCACTGTCATTGATGAAGATGCTCGTTTCTGTTGTTTGCAATGTTGTCAAACCCAGACTGTTGAGTGAAGTGGAAAAATGACCGGGTCAAGGGTTAGTGGTTCAACCGTCGGATCAACCGGAATCAAACAATGACGTCATAATTATATTATAAATATATTAATAACTATGTATAAATAAAATATACGTATTAAAGTTACAAAAATACATACTTATATTATTAATTTATTTTCAATTCAAGATTTAAAAGGCTATGCTTTGTGTTTTTTTCTAGCAAAAGATTGTAATCTTTTTTAATAAAGTTAGAAACATGATAAATAATATATATCTCACGGGCGACTGATTTAACCGCGGTTTCAAGCGGTTTATCCAAAAAACACCAATTCTTGCACAAGTCTGGTTTTGAGGGTTTATTCAAACCAAAACCTGGACCGGTTGATGGTTTAATTTGTTGCACCGGCTGGTCCGGTCCGGTTTCAAAAACATTGGTTGTTTGTATAATTATTTTGACTTAGTTAACACAGCCCGTAATTTTGTTATTCTTCCATTCGTGGTATTAACTTTAAAACTTCTTAATCTCTTGTACTTTGCGGAATTTGTCATGATTTTGTACTCAACTCATCCAAAAAAGCATTGTAACTGTAGCACAACTTCTTGTCTGCTACTTAAACATATATCACTTCCATTATTTTGTTAAGCACTGCAACACGTTACATTTTTGGTCTTTGTACGGGGGCGAAATATCCTCTGCTTTCCGTACTCCTTGTACTCCAAGCTTCTCTTCACGGCGTCTACCTGGCGACACAGAAACGGTGAGCTGCCCAGCGGTGGTGTGCCGGATAGATCCTCCGACGATCAAATCAGTCCACTTGAGGAAGAAGAAGACTGATAGAGAGAGAGTATTCTCTTTTGGGGAAGAAGTTGCATACCACTAACGTTCGTCCTCCTCCATATTTCAAGGCTGGCCAAGCAGCCTCAAGATTATGCGCGCACTACCTCTGCTGTCCTTCCCAGGACAGGTGGCAGTGCTCGCCTCTCACCACCTTACGCGTGTAAAGGCTTAGTCCTCCCACCAGTACATGCAGAACTGTCCAACGGTATTGGCGCATGTTTGGAGTAGATTTCCTCTATCCCTCACACCATTGGCCCAGGTGGCACACTTGACCAGAATACCACGACCGGCCTATCACTTGTGGAGAGTTGCCATCACATGCACACAACCGAGCTATGCATCGCCGGACTGTCCCTTGCGAAGGGGCCAAAGGGCGATACTCATGGCCAAGCTAATATTGACCGGTTCATTAGGCTAACCGGTTGTGAGGTATGCCGGCCTCCACCCGTCCTACCTTTATTCTCGGTCACACGAAGCCCACTTATCTCGGCTGGTCGGTCAAAAGCGTGCCGGCCCTAACCGCGTCCATAGTCTAGCTCGGGTTGCTCTTAGCTTGGTCATCAGACACTGCTGCGCGCTTGGCCGCGTTATAGCTCGGCTAGGCATTGGTTCGTGTCAGGCCGGTCGACCTCTCCGGCCGTGCAAGTCAGGCCGCTGGGCCGAGCAAGAGAGGAGTCTGCTCGGCGGTGTGCGGTTCGTCATGATCGGCGTTATCGTAGCTCGGCCGTACTAACGCGCAAATCTCCCCTCTCAGTCTTCATACCATTATCTGGTTGAATTAGGCAGCCCATCATCAGTTACCTAAATTATTATGATTATATACAAATTTAAATAAGAATCAGAAGATAGATTTTAACCTTTTCCTTTGTACTTATTTAGTTCACTTTAAGATGTTGTATAAGAGGGTGCAATAACTAAGCTAATTCACTAAAGCTATTTTTTATTTTTTTATAATTTATATCGCTCATAGCCATTTTAGAATGTTAGCGGGAAGTGGGGGTACCCATATTTGGTTGCTATGTGGGAAGTGGGGGTACCCATATTTGGTTGCTATGTCTCTGACTCTATTAATATTGACACATGAACTCCAAGTGACGAGTTGTCATGATGCCACGTCATCTCCACAATATAACCATTGGGGCCGTGAGCCTAGCCTAAGCAGGGGCACACAGAGTATGGCAATCCTTGCTGGCACACACTCAATGCCTTAGACTCGAACCATGAAGCCAAGAAATGTGGCCTACAATCCTTGAGCAAGGCATGCTTGGAATCCCACTCTCAGCTTGGCTAAGTAACTCTCAACCAAAGCATCCTCAAGCCTCAATAACACACTCTATCAAAAAAGAAAAAAGAGAACACTCACTCTCTAGCCTGGCGCACCATCTCTGCTATAGTTGCCTTGCCCTCCTTCAATTGAGTCACATGTCTCCAAATACTTCATCTCACAAGATTTGTGCCTTGATGCCACATTGCATACCTAGGCAGGGAGAAGAGCCTAAGAACCTCTGTCAGGATAACCATAGAACTTGTCACTTGGAGGCTAGAATTGAAGGTTTTCCTTTCCCTCCTTGAGGGAACTTGCACCTTGACTAGCCTTAGAGAGAAAGAGACAAATACAAGAAGACAAGGCTAGCGCTGACCAAGACATGTGAAACTTGTGAAGCATATCACTAGAGCCCCTCTGATATAGCTTTCTAAATAAGTCATACCTACCATTGCAACTTCATGATATGAAGTGATACCTTGAAATTGTCTAACCAAGGGGGTTGAGCCATATGTCCAAGAGTGACTTGTCCCCAATAGTTTGGTCAACCTACATAAGGAGTCTCCTCCTTGCATAAAGACAAGAACTGGCCATCTCTTTACTCTCTAGCATCAAATCTGAGACTCTCTACTGCCACTCTCTCTCACCCAAGGCTGCCCCCACTCTCTTTTTCTCCAACTCAGGTTGTCCCATGCCATCACTATGCCTACCATCTCATCACCTCACCATCCACAATAAGTATTGGGACAAGCATAACTTTCGAGAGGAAGGGGGAACAGGGATTGCCATTCCTGGTAAAACAAAAATGACAAGTCTCATTATTATGGAGGAAAAACTTATGCACGAGCTATGTGTTTTTTTAAACTATATTGCTCATCGCCATTTTAGAATGTTAGTGGAAAGTAGCACAAGCACAAGCTTTGAAAGTAAGGGGGAGCAAGACTCCTGATTCCTTTGTAAACAATAACGATAAGAGTCAGACAATGTTTTATCATTGATCATATCCTTTTAGCATTCAATTCCATGTTGTTTTGTGAATTTTTTGAGGATGAGTTTCTATTTAAATTGGAATAGAGGATATATAGCATATGGTACTATTATACGTCAAATTTGCTCTAGGTTCCTTTTTTGATAATGTCAATAAATTCAGAGTCATAGCAAATGCGTAGCAGATCTATGTGGAGCATTGCATTGTGATCTTGTGATGGATTCAAATTCAAAATTTCGTAAAACCAAATGCAATCCAGCTGCTGCTGCAAGAAATCGCCACTTATGTGAGGTTGTTTTTGACAACTATATCTCTTGCATTGTTGACCACAATGTTTATTCCATGATCATTCTTATCTGGTATCTTCTGTGCAGAGTCTTGCTGATAGTTGTTTTCCTGTTAATCAGAGCCCCTCAGCAAACCGTCTTCATGGTACTCTTTTATATATTTCAAGAAAACATGCATGCTATGTGTTTTCTTCTGCTGTTACTTGTAGTGCTTACAGTGGAATTTTGTTGATTGTATTGGTAGAATTGTTTTTGCGGCAATTCTGTGATGCTCACACTTGCTCAGGAGGACGAAAACCCTTTTCCAGAGGGGGCCAGGTAAGGCTTCAGTCTTTAATAGCTTGGATGTTCTTGGTATAGCAATTCACTTTTAAGATTTCACATTTTTAATTGTGTAAATGTGAGAGAGTTCTGATTTATCTGCCAATATAGATGTCACACCCTGCAAGGTGTTGCAATGTGCCTTGGCAAGCTAGACATACTCTCCTAGATAACATTTTGGTCAAATAAGTAAATCGACATCTTAAAGGCTCATTTTTCTGTCAAATGGAGGAATTCATACTTTTGATAGACCAAGTATTTTGGGTTATATTCTCTTTGTTGCAGCAATATGTGATTTTCTTAATTCTTGCTGTTGAATTGGTTATTCTGTGCAGAAGCATACAAGCATTTTATACTTGGCTATTTCAATATTGGTCTTGATGTTCCTCCCTATCTTCTATGTCATTGTTTATTTGTACCAAAGGTGTCATTCTAAAACCTTTCCAATTACTGCATCTTAATTTTTTGCAGTGAATTTATAGTGCGTTTTGTTGATATCTGCAGAGAAATGAAAAAAGGAACCCAAGAGCTGAAGCGAATCTCACAACTTGGACGAAAAACGAAGCCCTCTTAGTTGGTAAATTTAAGCTGCTTTGCGAGAAGACTTAATTAGACTGCCAAAATTGAGGTAATCTGAAGTATGCTTTATTAACTGAACCAAGCTTAATGACTTTGCTGACCATAAGAGTTAGTTATTTGGCCATTATATGGTGGTATGATGATTTACCAACCACTGCAGGGTTGTTGTTTTTCATTCTTTTTTATTTTTTTAAACAGGAGAAGAGGTGTTTATGTTAGTTATTTTTTAGTTACTCTATTTTTTGTACAGTTTGAATGTATAATGTACTTGTGCGAAGATAAAATTTATAAAAGTTTTAAGGTTAGCTCTTCTTTGTGATTTTTAATCGTGTGATGCAAGTACTTGAGGTCGACTGCTTATCTGCCTTGGCTCTACAAATAATTTAATTTTTGAGCTTTATGTTCTTTTTTGGGTAAGTAGAGCTTTATAGTCCTTTCTTCTGTAGAATGATGTGTGCAATCACTGTTATAATACCCAATGATTACTTTCAATAGTCGTTATGCCACTTCGGTAGTTTTTGAGGAATGGAATGTCAGGAACAATACTCATGATTGCTGTTCCTTATGTTTCTAAAAAACTGTTGTCATGGTGTAATAATGACTAATAAAAGTTATTCTAACAATCAGTTGAATCGTTAGGTGGCCCACTGACAATAGAATCTTGAATTGGGACAACGGCTCCATTATTTTTTTGGCTGCAGTTAATCTGAGTAACGTAAATTACGAATGAATTTTATATGTTATAGCTCTACTCTTCTTTCTTTGTAGGCCAAGCTGTTTCAATTGTCAATCAGCATGAAGATTGGGGACGATGACAGAATCTTTGATTGTGGAGATTTTTATGTGCCAATCTGAATGCTCTTCGAATATGTTCCCCTGTATAACTAATTGCTTTGTCAATAGAAAGCCTCAGGTCAGAAGATTTGTGCAGCAACTTGCTCATTTGTTTTGGCAAGGTGTGACATCCCAACATCTCAAAAATTATGGCTTTTGTTGTAGAAGGAAAACATCGGAAGACAAACATTTTTTTGTGATAAACGAGCATCAATCAATAGTGATTTACCTACCGTAAAACAGGTTTGTTCTTCCAGTAGGTGAATGATTGTGCTTGCACTCAAAACCACTGTTGCAGCTAACTGTTGATTTCATAATGATTTTCTAACCTGCATTTGAGATCATTCGTGAAGCCATTCTATTGAACTATGCCTTTGAGTCTAATCAGAATGTGTTCACAGTTCCAAACTAAAGACCCAACTTTTTTCTTTGGGCAAATTACATATACCCCCCTCGAGGTTTAGCAAAATTATAGATACCCCCTGAGATTTGAGAAATTACAGATATCTCCCTAAAGGTACTATTTGCACAACAAATTAGGAAGTAAATTGTTATGAAAATATAAACCTCAGGAGCAATTTGTTATGAAAATATAAACTTCATGGAAGTATCTGTAATTTTCAAAATTTCAAGGGGTATTTGTAATTTAACTAAACCTCAAGAGAGGTATATGTAATTTGCCCTTTTTCTTTTGAACTGTTGAAGCCTACTACTAGTATGCCTTGATATACATGGGGCTGGGCTGACTCAACTGTTAGAGCTGCAGCAATCTCTCTTCCCAAATTTCTGGTGGGGTGTGTGTGTGTGTGCGTGTGTGTGTGTGTGAGAGAGAGAGAGAGAGAGAGAGAGAGAGTATAATAGTTAAGAGCTGTGCTTGCATAGGTCAGGTTTGGGTTCTCAATAATTCATTGTACAAGCCTTGAAAGGGCATCAGCTAGAGTATTATCAGAACCATTAATATGTTCCATTACAGTCCAAATTGACTCAACAACTTACACACTACTGTACTGAATTACGGAAAATGAAATGATAAAAAAATAAAAATAAATAAAAAATTGGTTAAGCTGTGTCATTTTGGTGACATGGTATGACAAATCAATCATTGTCTCATGTATGTATATATTCACACATACTATGTATACATGTCAGTTGGAGCATCTCTGACGGTTCATCAAATTTTTCATCAAATTTAAGTAAAAAAAAGATTATTTTCTCAATCTGATACAGATTATTCCAATGGTTGTCATCAAAGTAGGGGTCGACCGGTTAGTGTATTTTTTTTTTTTAACCTCTTTGAACCTTTTGACCAGTTTGAACCAATCTATTTGCAAGGGAACCGGTCGACCGGTTGGTCTCCTCTAACGGTCACGTACAGTAAATTGGTAAAATCTTCCCCTTGTTTTCACTTTGATGAAAAATTTGGTGAATTCTCGTTTTGATACCAATTTGATAAAACCATTGAAGCTACAAAAAGTAATTTTTTCACCAAATTTCAAATCTGATGCAAGGTTTGATAAAGCGTTGGAGATGTGTTAGATAAAGTAGTTACTGTACAATTATATGGTGAATTTGTACTTTATTCCTGCCGGCGATAAAGTGCGTTAATTAAAACAATAATAAAAATGAATTTAAGATTGATTAAAATATATATATATATATATATATATAACATAAGAAACGTGTTTTGAAAATATTTTTTTGATTAAAGTATACTTAAAAGCTTAATTAATCAAAAACGAATTTTGTAAAGACATTTTTACAAAAAATTAAAATTACAACAAAAATATATTTTTTATTTTCAACTTAAATATTTTTATTTTTAGCAAAAATATTTTAGGAAAAATTATAAAATAAAATAAAAACCCCCAGGGTTTGAGTTATATAACAAAATAAATTCTTAGTTTTTAATTTTATCAATTTAAACCTTATGTTTTAGATTTATTTTCAATTTAAACCATTTGCCTATTTTTATTAAGTAAAATCAATGAAACAAATGAATATTTGTCACTAAACTCATGAAAAAATGTATTTTAGACATTTTGGCACCGTTTCGCTTCTGGGTTGGGGTTAGCTAATAATATAAAATGTCACATCAAAAGTATAACCATTTCATTTTTTTCTCACAACTATCAAATCAACTACCAAAAAAAAAAAAAAAATCAACAAATTCAAAAAAAAAAAAAAAAAAAAAGACCAAGTCAATCAAAATTTTATCCCAAACAGAACTTTTTTAGCCATGCTAAAATAGCCAAAAAGCTAGGCTAAAAAAGTTTATCCCAAACACCCACATTGAGTTTAATGATTAAAATATTTTTTCCATCGATTTTACTTAATGAATACTTCACGAAAATATGCTAATGGTCTATATTAAAAACAAATCAAAAGATTAGAATTTAAATTGATAAAATTGAAAATTCAAGATTTATTTGAATTTTTAAGGTCTCTAATATTAAAATTTTATAAGATAAATAATATATAATATTTTCATAATAGTTGGAATCCCTCAACATTTTCATAGAAAAATTTCAACTCCTCACGGAGAAATTTCATTTTTCATAGAGAAATTTCAACTATTCACAGAGAAATCTCTCTTTTTACAGATAAATTTCAGCTATTCATAGAGAATTTTTGAATTTTTTCTGGTGTAATTGTAGAGAAATTTCATTGAGGGACCTTAACTAATAAGAAAAAATATATTAGATCTCTCTTATTACCCAAAGTTAGAGAAGAATGTTTCACTGATTTTTTCAGTTTATTTTGTTACATGGCTCAACTCTAGATTTTTTTTTTTTTTTTTTTTGTAATTGTCCCAATATTTTATAGGGAAAATTGGTCATAAATCTAATATAAGAAGTTTATAAGGCATTAGGTCTAGTAGATATTTTTTATTGGTGAGAGGTCCGCCATTTATGTAATAGTTTGGTGAGAAGTCCATTTGTTAGTTTTGGAGGACATTATATTTCCAATTTTATTTCTTAATTTGTCTGTTGACTTTTTGTTGACTATTGTTCAAATTTATATCTATCTATTCAAATTTATATCAAAATGTACAAATTTTTTGACTATTTGTTCAATTTTTGTACTTTTCGATTCAAAATTTTGTTTCTATATGGTCAAACCAAGTCTATATTTTGTCAAATATTTTTCTATTTTGTTGAAGTTTTGTATATATCTGTTGAACCTACTCTATCTAGATAGAGAGATATCTGCTAACTCTTATTCTTTTTTTTTCCTAACAAATAATCTTCAATTTCTATATGTTCCTATGTGCAAAAGTTATTTGTTCAAAAATCTGTTCAAAATTTCTATCTGCTGAAATCATTTTCTCTATCTGTTGGAACACAAAGCAAACTAAATTCTATATGTTTAATTATTTGTTGATTTCTTATATGTGTTCAAATTTTGAACCTATTTCAACCTATCTGTTGAATTTATTTTATCTATTGAAATGAACACATATCTGTTAAATTATCTATCTGTTAAAAGTACTATCTATTAAAAATATATTTAGCATTTTTTAAGCTAGATTTCAGATCTGTTTAAAAAAAAAAAAAAAGGAATAAAACAATACTAGAGATAGATCTATGAATGCTGAATGTTCAAAATTCTAGAAAGTTTTCATGATCATTATCATCATCAAGAAGACTTTCCAGATTTGAGCCTTGAACACAAATCTGAGCCTTCAACAACAGTAATAAATAGAAGGAAAAAATTTGACCTCAACAACACATATTTTCAGATCTTCACATATCTATATCCATACACACACATATAACATATGTAAAACCCTAGATTTGAAATACAAACACATATCTATACAAACACATATACACACAGATCTCAAATATGAGATTTAGCATGAGCTTTGTCAGAGAGAAAAGATCGCGAGAAGCAAATCCATTCCATCACACACTAGCACTGCAACTTTGAAACATCTGATACTTAACGGCGTTACCAAAACGGCACCGGTACTCTGGCTCCCAAACGTGATCATTACCGAATACTTGATGAAGATACGATACTCGTCGGAGATAGAGGTTCTGACCTTGAATCGAACTCGACCGTCAATTTTGAACAAGAGATTGAGTATTCCATCGGCTTAGTCATGACTAGACACCGTTGTACGGAGCCACCGGGATGGTGGTGCCGAAGACAAAAAAGGACTAGACTTGACATCATGGTGGCCTTTATAGGTCAGAGAGAAGAGAGAGAAATGAGGAAAAGAGAGGATGAGAGGAGAGAGAAAGAGAGAGTGAGTTAGGGTTTGAAGAGGTTGAGAGAGAAAGTGTATGTGTGATGGAAATCATACGTGTGTAATGACATATATGTCAGGGTATTTTGATCATTTCATACAGCTTGTCCTCAAGGACATAAGAAATTGGGTGATTCTATTTACACAGCACTAATCCTCTCAATACACACCATTACTTAATACACACACAAAATAATTTTTAAGATTTAAAAATATCTTAATTCACACCTTAACCTTCCATTACTATCCCTGTAACATACCACCTGTCTTTAAATACACACCACAACACACACAAAAAACTCTCCATCTTCTTAACAGAGAACTCTCTCTTCAAAGATCTTTATTATTAGTGTTGAACTCCATCGCCAACAGAGGTTTCATTTGGCTTCCAACTTCGATGTCGTCTCGACAATGCATTGTCGTTCTTTATCTTCGTTGTCCTCTTACCGTTGTTTTGTCGTTAAATAAATAAATAAATAAACTTGTTCATGAATATAGAATTGAGCAAACTTAATGTGTTCAAAAAATTATATCTAAACAAAGAATAGAAGTTTAATTTATTTTAACCGAACTAACTTTAAATGTCCTTTTTTTTTTTAATGTATGAACATTTAATATTTGATGGTCAATCTTAATAATTTGAACAAAATTGTTTTGTTCAAATATAAATAATCGAACATTGTGTAAAAGTTCAACTCTGGTTATCTGAACACATGAGGAACAAACTCATCTTCCTAACATACGAATGGGATAAACAAAAAAAACCAAAAATTTAAGTAATAAACTAACATTTTTAATGTTCAAATCAACCTCAATGTTTATATCACAATCAACTATCTCAATGTCATCAATGGTATATAAATCTTCAAAATTAATTGATTTCAATGTTCTTAAACCCTACATCTTCAAAGGCAATAATGTTTTGAGTTTGGAAAATAAATATAATTGAGAAGGGAATGAAGTGAGCTAATTAATAATAAATGATATCATGAGTGTAGTGTGTTAATGGTAAAGATGATGAAGAAATACAGTGTTTATATGTTTAAACCCTAAACCCTACAGGTGATGATGTTGTGTGAAGATTATTTTGTA